GACACACCAGGTCAGTGGGACAGCCTCACATGGGCACACCAGGTCAGTGGGACAGCCCCACATGGGCACACCAGGTTTGCGGGACAGCCTCACATAGACACACCAGGTCAGTGGGACAGCCCCACATGGGCACACCAGGTCAGTGGGACAGCCTCACATGGACACACCAGATCAGTGGGACAGCCCCACATGGGCACATGAGGTCAGCAGGACAGCCCCACGTGGGCACATGAGGTCACTGAGACAACCCCATGCCTCTAGGACTCCAAGTACTTCCTGTTCCAAGTCTGGCCCTCAAGGGCATAAGCTCCCACTCCTCACCCCCCACCAGCAGGTGTATGCCCAGATGTCTTTCCTTGTTCCAGATAAGGCAGGTGAGTCATGGGAGCCCTATGAACCCAGGAGCTGCCTAGGATGTGGGCTGACAGAGTGGGTGGGCCATGATGGGGGGAGGAACTGACAGCAGGGGACTGAGGGTAGAGGCAGCAGGGAGGGTCATGCCCACAGGACTCCAGAACCTGCTAGCAGCTGGGCAGGGAGATGCGGTCTAACAGAGTCTACTCTCAGAGCATAGTCTGACTGGTCCTGGGACACCACCTATGGTCATCCCTGACTCTCCAATCCACATCGTGGCCTTATAATGAGACATTAATTATTCACTTGGGGTGGCCTGGCCCCTGGTGCACTGGAGGAGCCCAGGCTTTTATACAGGAGACTTCAGCCATCACCACTCATTTCTCATACATATTTAATGCTCCTCAATTTTCTGCTGAGTTTCTACCTTGAGAAATTCATGTGCAAACCCCTAGATCACCAGTGCCTTTTGAGGACAATGTGGCTCCAGAATCAGCATCTCTCTTAAGAGCTTGAGGACCAGCAGGGGGTGGGGGGAGCAAGGCAGTGCTGGTGGCTGGTTCTGGTTGGGGGTACAAGTGGGAGGCAGCCACTGAGTGATGAGGCAGTTTCTGCAGCAAGCGAAATGAGCATTTGTGAATTTTTATCATCTTAGGTGATCTGCTGTGGACCTGGCATCTTACCTGCTTGGTGTTTGAATATCCTGGATATGACGACGGGCACGCTGTGCTCAGCACCCCCCTGGAAGACACAAATCAGGAAGATTTCCTCACTGCAGCTGCCCCAGAAGCTCTGAGGCATGAAGCAGGAGGTGAGAAGGGCGTGTTCCTACCTTTATACTCAGGCCCAAGCCGCCGACCGGCTGTCTGCGAAGTGTAACAGTTCTGTGCTTTAAAAAATTTTAGAAAACATATCAAATTTAGGTTAAAACACGCTATCAAACTGTGAATGCAAAACAACTTTTTAACTTAAAGAATTGTTAAATTATGTTCTCAAAGCAGCACCGTGTAAAAGCTGCAGGGACAGGCGTTTCAGGCCTGGGGCCTGTGGTGCTGCACAGGTGGACACAGAGACAGGACGGTAGCAGGCCCGGTCCCTCCAGGTCTGCGCCCTGCCTGTGAGGATCAGGGCCCTGAGGGGGAGTGGCTGGCCCACGGCGTGCACAGACAAGCTGCTGTAAGCAACCCTTTCTCCTCCCACTAACCCAATACCCAGCACCCTCTTCAACATGTCACTGCCGAGGTCAGTCACACTTAGAACAATTTTCCAGTGACTGGTATTAATTCAGGAGTTACTGATTTTTCATGGCCCCTGGCTATAGTTCCCTGGTAGCCTAAATGCAGGTTATGATAAAAGCTAAATGTATGATACACCCTTAGGTGGCTACTGAAATGGTAAAATCTCCAAATCCCTGATGTATTGATTGGCACACACGTGCTGAGGCCTCATCCGACTACAGGGATCATTGCCAACTGCAGGCAGGTGTGGGTGATGGGCACCCATGATGAGCACCAGGGAGGTGGCTGAGGGCAGGGCGGAGGGGGAACAAAGGGTATGTTCAGCTCAGATGGATACCAGGAAAAGGACAATGCCAGTATCTGATTTTTAAATGCGAGACAAGCACTTTCAGAACAACATGGCTCTAAGAAGTCCTATGTTTGCAAAGCAAGAACAGAGGCGTGAGACCAAAGGCAGGACACAATTGGTGGAGAGGACGGCTGGGGCACTGCAGCTCCTGTCCCAGGTGGGGACTGGCTCTGGCCTCCGTGCAGGTGCAGGAGTGGGAGCTGAGGAGAAAATTGCCTTTGTGTTTGCACATGTCTCATAACCTTTAAAACTCACTTGTAGCTTTTTCTTAGCAACAAATATAAACACAAAGGGAAGACGCTAAAATCTAGAGCAGGCATCCTCAAAGTACGGCCCACGGGCTACATGTAGCCTGCCTAGGACATTTATCCAGCCCGCCAGGTGTTTTTGCCGCTGCCACCTGTCCTGCTTAGCAGCTGACTTGTCCTGGGGCCCACAGTTGGCCCTCCAACGGTCTGAGGGACAGTGAACTGGCCCCCTGTTTAAAAAGTTTGAGGACC